GGCCCCCCCGCCCGGGCCGGGGCTTACCTGGGGCCGCGGCAATGCGCTCCTCGCATTCACCCACACTCCCTCATTTCCTACTTTTTCATATGCTAACGTTCTCAATGATTAAGTCGTTAACACTTCTGGGGAAAAACAAAATAAAGAAGAAGGGGAGGGAGGAGGGGGGAAATGAAAGAACAAAAAAAAAAAAGAAGAGGAGGGAAAAAAAGAAAAAAAAATTGGAAAAGAAAAGATAGGGGGAAAAGATGAAAAAAGGAGGAAAAAAATGCGAAGAAAAAAATAAAAAAAATAAGGAGAAAGAAAAAAATCAGGCTAAAGGCTTCTTTATTTATCATTCCCCTCTGTTATTTTACGTCTTTTTTATTTCTCCCTGCAACTAATCTCACAGATTAATCAATGGCCACCTCCGAAGCTCCGCTCCCCGCCGCCGCTGTTGGAAAAGCCCGACCGGCCGCGGGAGCGCGCAGAGAAGCGCCGTGGGAGCGCGGCCCCGCGGCTGCAAGCGCCGCCAGCGCCGCTCCGGGCGCGGCGGCCCCGACGGGGCGGACGGGCGGAACGGAGCGGCGCGGCCGCGGCTCTTTGTCGACGGCGCGGCGGCACTCGGAGTTTTGCGTGACTTCACGGCGGGGAGCCCGACGTCACACGGCCACGTGACGCCGCCTCCGAGTATATCTTTAACGGGAAAGTAATCTATCAGGCAGTCCGGCCCGCCGCGCCGCGCCGCCGAAGTGCCGAGCGAGGCCCCGCGCCGCCCCGCGGCCTCTGCCCCCCGCCCCGCCCGGCTGCGGGACCTCCCTCCGCCCGACCGAGGGGGCGACCGACCGACGACAACAACAACAACAACAGCAGCTGCACCGCCACCAAAAAAAAAAAAAAAAAAAAAAAAGAAGATTTCTCAAAAAAAAAAAAAAAAAAAAAAAAGCAAAGCAGAGCACGCGAAGCGAGGAGCGAACGGCGGAGCGGTGCGCGGCGGCGGAGGGGCCCGCGGGCGCGGAGCGGTGGAGCGGAGGGGCCCCGCGGGCGGCGGGCGGGAGGCAGCGGCGCCGCCCGAGCCCCGATGCCCGGCGGCCGGAGCGGGGCGCGCAGCCGGAGGTGACCGGTGGGGATCCCCGGGAGCGGAGCGGGCGCGGCCCCCCCATGCCCCGCGGGGACGGCGCCGCGGGCGGCAGCGGAGCCGCGCGGGTGTAGCGGCCCCGCGCTGGGGGAGAGGGGCGCGGGGGCGGCCCGCGGAGCGGGGATGACTCTATCGGGCGGCGGCAGCGATATGTCCGGCCAGACCGCGCTGGCGGCCGAGGACGTGGATATCGACGTGGTGGGCGAGGGAGACGACGCGCCGGGCAAGGACGGGGACGGCGAGGCCCGCAGCCCCGCCGCGCTGCCGCGGCTGCCGCTGGACGAGGCGGCGGAGCCCGGCGAGCCTGGAGCGGGCGGCGAGAGCGGCAGCAGCGGCAGCGGCAGCCCGGCTCCGGCGGGCCCCGAGGGCGGCAGAGGGGGCGGCGGCGGCGGCGGCGGCGAGGAGGGGGCGAGCGGCGGGGGAGCGGCGGCGGCGGCGGCGGCGGGGCAGAGCAAGCCGAAGAGCAGCCTGGTGAAGCCGCCCTACTCGTACATCGCGCTCATCACCATGGCCATCCTGCAGAGCCCGCAGAAGAAGCTGACGCTCAGCGGCATCTGCGAGTTCATCAGCAACCGCTTCCCCTACTACCGGGAGAAGTTCCCCGCCTGGCAGAACAGCATCCGCCACAACCTCTCGCTCAACGACTGCTTCGTGAAGATCCCCCGCGAGCCCGGCAACCCGGGCAAGGGCAACTACTGGACGCTGGACCCGCAGTCCGAGGACATGTTCGACAACGGCAGCTTCCTGCGGCGGAGGAAGCGCTTCAAGCGGCACCAGCAGGAGCACCTGCGGGACCAGACGGCGCTCATGATGCAGGGCTTCGGCGCCTACGGGCTGGCCGGGCCCTACGGCCGCCCCTACGGGCTGCCCCCCGGCGCCTACCCGCACCCCGCCGCTCTGCAGTACCCCTACATCCCGCCCGTCGGGCCCATGCTGCCGCCCGCGGTGCCGCTGCTGCCGTCGGGCGAGCTGAGCCGCAAAGCCTTCAACGCGCAGCTCGGGCCCAGCCTGCAGCTGCAGCTCAGCAGTTTGGGGGCGGCGGGCTCCATCGTGAAATCCGAGCCCAGCAGCCGCCCGTCGTTCAGCATCGAGAACATCATCGGCGGCCCCGCCGCCAGCTCGGCGCCCAGCGCGCAGACTTTCCTGCGGCCGCCCGTCACCGTGCAGTCGGGCCTGGTGGCCCACCAGCCGCTGGCGCTAGCCAGGACCACCGCGGCCATCGCGCCCATCCTCAGCGTGCCTACCAACATCATCGCGGGGCAGTTCCTGCAGCCCCCCGCCGCCGTGCAGGCCAAGTGGCCGGCGCAGTGACCCCCGGAGCGGTGACCCTCGGCACGGTGACCCCCCGGACGTATCTCTGGGAAACGGCGGAGGTCGCTTTCGGGGTTTTTATTTTTCTAACAGAGGCGAAGTGACGGTCGCGTTTAGGAGCCGGGAGGGCTTTCGCTTTTTTTGAAGGTTCCAGCGCTCCGAGCGGTTTTATCCGAAATAAGCGAACGAACGGGGAAAAAAAAAATGTATAAAAATATTAATAATAAGTGGGGGAAATTTTAAATATTAAACGAACGAACAACAACGAAAAAAAAAAAGAATTTCGGAGGAAAAAAAAAAAAGGAGGAAAACGCTGTCGTTCTATTATAGAAGTCTGTTTATATATGAATGAATATATGTATTCTAAATGTTATCCCTTCGTGTTGTACACAACTTTGTAAATAAATTTTTCAAACGCTCCGCCCGTGTGCGTGTGCGCGCCGACACCGCGGCACTGCGCTGCGCTCCGGAGCCGCCGCTCTGCGCGTAATGTCCGCGCAACCTCCGCGAGCAGCGCGCAGCCGGTCCGGTTCTGCCCCCCGCTCCTTTCCAATCGCTTCCTAACAAACCCAAACTCCGATCCCCGGGTAGATCTGAGGGATCCGATGCGCGCCTCGTTGTGGTTTTGTTTGTATTATTGTTATTTATTATTATTGCTATTATTTTGATTATTATTATTATTTTTTTATCCCCTAATTGTAGGGATCCCCCTTTCCTTCCCCAACCGGAGCGCTGCGGTGCGGCTTTGGCGGCTGTTTCTGAGCGAAATGGCTCTCAGGAAAGCTTGGGGCGATCCGAGAGTCCGCGGTTTCCATTGCGGGAGGACGGCTTCGCGGAGCGGCGGCACGGCGCCGAGCTTTCGTTTGCAGCGCCGAGTGCCGGGGAGCGGCTCCGCGGAACGGGAACGGCCTTTTTTAGCTCGTTCCGAAGGGGCGGCCGCGGGATGGAAGAAAAAAAAAAACAAAAACAAAAACAAAAACAAAAACCCACGGCATTTCTTGTGCCGTTTTTGTGGCTGAAATCACGGCGGCGTTCAGAGCCGGGTTTTGTCAGCGCTGCTTTGGCCGTCGCGAGTTTCGTTTTGGCCGCGTTCATTTTCCGCCCCGATAAATCCGCGGTGTTCGTTTCGGGACGGGGAGCGCCGGAGGAGCGGGATCGCAGCTCAAAACAAAAGCCAAGTGTCCTCGGCTCTGCCGCGGAGCCGTACGTGCCATTTCTCCCCGAAGTCAACCTTCGCACCTCCGCACATCCCCTCCGAAACACAGCGCGCGGCTCCGCCACTCGGGAACGCTCCGGCGGTGGCGGCAGCGCTGCGGGAACGGGGCTGAGAACTGCGGGAACGGAGCTGAGCGGTGCGGGGCTGAGCGCAGTAGGAAGCGCACAGAGCTCTTTCAGCGCAGAGCAGCGCTGCTCTGCGCGGCCCAGGGCTTCGCACCGGCGGCTTTTTGTAGTGTGCCCCCCACCCCGGGATAAATAATAAATAGAGGAAGGAGCCCCGGCCTGCATTCACTTGTAGGCTCCAGAAGCTGCTGAGCCCGGGCTTCCCGGAGCCGCCGGGTAACGGGTTCATTCCACGGCTGAGCCTTTTGTTGCTTAGAAAATGACTCGCTCGTATTTCCGCGCGTAGCGGCGGTACCTCGGGCTCGGCATGTGCCGCTCGGCCGAACCGGCGGCGGCCCGGCCCGGCCCCGCGGCCCTCCCTCCCCTTCTCGCCGCCTTTTCCCCACTGGAGAACAACGGCGGAGCGGCTCCGGAGCGGCCGCGGCCGGGAGAGGGGCAGCCCCGGGACGCGGGGCCGGCGGGCAGGTGAGGGCTGGGGGCTGCAGTGCCGCCGCGGGGCTGCAGGGGGCGCGGGGACCGAAAGCGGGACCCCCGGGGGGGGCGGCATCGCCGCGGTACCGGGCAGGCGGCGGGGCGGGGGGGAACTCGAGCCCGCATCGGGCGGCGATCCGACACCGACACAGAACGGCTTTTTCTTTCTCTTCATTTTTTTTTTGTTTCTTTCTTCTTTTCCCCCGTTGTGGGTTTTGGTGTTTTTTTTTTTCCCTTTTTTTTCCCCCCTTTTTCTTTCCTTTTTCATTTTTTTTTTTCGTTTCCTTTTTCCCCCTTTCCCTTCTTTTCCCCTTTCTCTTCTTTTCCCATTTCTCTTTTCCTCCCTTTCTCTTCTTTTCCTCTTTTCCTTTCCCCTCTTTATATCCCTTTGCCTTTTTTTTTCTTTCCTTTCCCCTCCCTTTCTCCTCTTTTTTCCCTTTCTCTTTTTTCCCCTTTTCTCTTCTCCCCCCCATTACTATTCGTTATTTCTCCCTCTTCCCCACCTCCTCCTCTTTTATTTTTTATGTCTCTTTTCCCTCTTTTCTTTTTTTCCTTTATTTTTTTTCCCCGTCCTCTCCCTTTTCCATTCCCCAAACCGTCCGACGCATATGGCCAAACTTGACGCGGCCGCTGACAGATGCCTATTAGTATAAGACGTGTCATGTTGGTCTCTGGGGTGCATTGAAAGTAACTAGATCCTAAGCACTGGGAAAATGACCGCACTCCGCAGCACGGAGAGTTTACTCAGAGCCCCCCCAGCCCCGACCCCTGCGATTATTTATGACAACTGCGAGGCCCCGCTCAGAGAAAGGTGCAATGAGGTTTAGTCCCGCACCCCCGAAGCCCCGGATCGCCCGGGAACGAGAAAGGACGGATCCGTCGGGGCCATTCCTTCGGGGCTTGAGGTTTACGGGTGCCGAGCATTAAAAAAAAAAAAAAAAATCGGGAAAACCCCCCTTTTGTGGTTATTTCCAAATGTTTCTTTATTGCAGAGCGATATTCCAGAGCGGGGATCTCCCACTCGGGGAAAACGCGCCCTAAGGGCGAGGAGTGTTTTCCTCCCTCCTTTGGGTCCGCGGCAATGGGATCCCGCGGTGGGGGTGCGGAAGATGCGCTTTGGGTGCGGGCTGTAGCGGAGCGCGGATCGCCGGGGGACGTGGAGCACCTCGGGGTCAGAGCGAAGCGTTCCCAGTCCTAACCACGAAGCGTTTTGGACTTAAAAGATACAAAGCAGAGGTGTGACGCCCGCGGAAAGCGTGAGCGGCAGTGAGTGTTCAATGTAGCAGGTAGGGATGAACTCAGCGCGTCTCCCGGACTGAGCTGGGAGCAGACGCCGCAGCCATAAAACGCACTTAACAGTCTATTTAATAGTGGCGAGGTCCTTGGAAACGCAATCTCCATACTAATCTCGTTTTTTTCTTCTTCTTCTTCCTTTTTTTTTTTTTCCTAAATCAGGAATGAAAAATAGGTGAGGAAGGTAGAACCTTCCCTTCCCATTGAAAATGTGGCATTTCCTCTATTTTAATAACTAAGACAACTTCGGTAATGAGGGATTCGGTAACGCCGAGTTCGGTAAGCAGTAAGGCAGGGCTCGGTGAGCGAGCCAGGGATGTACGACTTTACCAAGATCGCAAAACGAGAGTGCTCTCGAGCTGGAGGCTGGGTGAGACCCCCACGTCCCCGGGGCAAAGCGCCAACGGCCCAAAGACAAAAAGCCAAAAGCCAAATGCCATCGCCGTCCCCTCTCGGGTCCGGGAATCGCGTGGGCATCGGGGAACAGAGCAAATCTCAGCCTGCCTCTGCCGACTTTCATGAGGTGCTGGCGTTTCGGGGGAAAATAATAACAAATTCCGTCTTCCCGCAGGTTGGTTTGGTGTTTGCAAGCATGTGTCCTTCTGCTCTTGCTAGGGAAGCAGGATGGGCGAGGATCGGGGCTCAGGCGGTGCCCGCCGGGCGGAGCTGGGAACAACTCGCAGCCGCGGACAGCCCGTTCCCGCTGCCACCGGCCCTGGGAGCGACTTTCTCGTTATTCCGACCGCCTTTCGCCCCGGATTTCTGGGGCAGCCGGAAGGAATTTGCCTTACCCGCGTTCGGTTTTCCATCACCCGAAGGGATGGCGTGAAGAGCCCGGCAAACTCGCCGGAGCCTCCCGAGAGCGCGAAGGGTTAAGGAAAGCCGTTTGTCTGCTCATTATCGGTTTCTCTTTACTACTGAGAACCGAACCCGAGCTCCGCTCGTATCAACGTGTCCTTAATGCCTTTTCCAGTCATTGATCTGGTCAAAGTCACCGCAGAAATACTAGTGACAGAGACTCAATTCCAGACAACGTGACCAATGCAAGTATTTAGAAGGCATTCAATAAAAAAACCTTTCCCGGAGAGCGAACGATTTCACCTTGCAACAAAGAGCGCTCGGCTAATTGAAATAATGCACTCGGATGTGCGGCCGGGCCGGGAGCCGGCGGGGGAGGGGCTGCTCGGTGCGGGGCCGGGGAGCCCCGGGGGGGGCGAGGAGACGCAGCCCGGCGCCCGAATCCGAACGGCCGTCAGGAGGGAGCTGCAGGGCCGAGCGACCGCAGCTCGTAACTGGAAGCGTCTGCTCCCATCCCTGCCTTCTTCTCACCTTCTTCGTAATCGATTCGATGTTGGGATTATGTTTATTTTGCGGATCTATCAGCCCCCAGACGCCCCTTAGGATCTGATTCATCTCTCGCGCTAGGTTTAATTCAGCAGCTACTCGCAGGTAGATTAAAATAAATGTAATAAATGTGATGTATAGTTTTCATGAGGTTTATGGCTCCAGACACACGACAGGGCAGACTGCTGTGTGCACCTGTGTGAGGCCACGAGCTCCCTGTCCCCCCGTACCTGCCTGTTTGGGGTGGCATTCAATTGCCGGGGATGCTGCCATTGCTGCAGGTGGAAACAGCTCTGCCATCTCCAGGTCATTTGTGCTCTGTTTGCAAACAGTCGGGATTATGGAAATGTGTGTTACAGCATTGGAAAACCTTCAAGGGGAAAAAGCCATCTCTGGTGGTACTCAATACTAAATATATTTAAACACAAGTATGTACTGTTTGTGCATTTTGGAAAGAACTCATGCATGCTTAAAAAAAAAAAAGAAAAGCAGAATCGTATCTTCGTGGAATCTTGTTACTTTAATGTTCATTCTATGACATGAGATCAGATCCTTTTTGATCATCCACTTCCACCTTTCAGTGGTTGGGTTGAAACCTGTAATGAAATGGTTTAAATGGGTTGGGCTCGTGCTTTACATGTTGGTCAGCCCTTAAGAGGTCGGGTGGTCGGAATCACTGTAGATTTATTCAGACTGTTCTGTTCTATTTCCCCATCCCTGGAGGCATTCAAGGCCAGGCTGGATGTCGCTTTGGGCAGCCTGGTCTGCTGGTTGGCGACCCTGCACATAGAAGGGGTTGGAACCAGATGAGCATTGCGGTCCTTTTCAACCCGGGCCATTCTATCATTCTATTCTACTCTATTCCACTCTGTCCTATCCTACCTTCTATTTCATTCCACTCTATTCCATTCTATTCCATTCCATTCTATTCCTACTCTATCCTATTCCAGCCCCTTCCAACCTTTTAGCCCTTGGATCCCAGCCCAAGGACAGCCCTGCTGGCAACTGATCGGGAAGGTTTGGCCATGAGAACCACAGCATGTGTTCTTATTTACAGAAATAACCCATTTTCTATTAAATTGCACACCCTAACCTGAGAGAAGTGCCATAAGAGGAAGCTCTGTACAACAGAGACTTCCTAATACTGATAAGGGACGTAGGAAGCTGATGTGGGATTGATCAGGCTGAGCACGCACTCTGCCAAGGCCTCCATGAGGATCACGGAGCCCACAGCAGAAGGTGGTACAGCAGCAGCTGCTGACCAGGCCGCTCCTCAGGTCCTGTTTCCACACACAGCCGCTGACAGCTGCTTCCAGAGCTCCGGCTCTGCGAAGAACAAACCCTCCTGCTGCCACTTCCCTTCTGTAACAAGAAAAGAATCATAATAATTTGTAAAAAAAAAAAAAAACAAAAAACCAAACCGCTTCCGAGCACCACCCCCCCCCCCCCCCGCAGCCGCTCACAGCCCCACAGCGGCCCGCAGCCACCTCAGCGCCAACACCGCGACCCGAGCTGCGCAGGCGCCAGGCTCAAAGCGCATGCGCACTGCGCCCCCCCCGCGCCGCCTTAGGGCCTGGCGGAGGCCGGAAGCGTTTTCGAACGCGGAAGCGCGCGCGCGCGGCCGTTGTGTCCAGTAAGGCGGGAAGCGGGGAGGCGCGCGCCGCTCACCTCAGGGCTCGGCGGGACGGGACGGGCGGCGGGAAGGGCAGGGCAGGGTCAGCGCTGCGATCCGTGCCCGCGTGTCGGCTGAGGAGGAGCGTGGCGATGCGGGGCGGGTGCGAGGGATGAATGTGTCAGAGCTGAACGCCTGACAGGGAGGAGGGAACCCGGTGGGCCTTAGGGTAAGCGGTGTCGCTGAAAGGAGAGGAATTCTCAGCTTGGTGCACGTTCCTGAAGGCCGAAGGGCGCCGCTGAGCCGTGCGGCGGCATCTCCCCGATTACCGTCTGAAAGGCCGCCGGCTCCTTGCCCCGATGACGGGGATTTTTTGTGCCTCAAGGCGCTGTTTTGTCTCCAGGCGCCCTCAGGTGCTGCTCCAAAGGCAGGGGGCAAAGCTGGAGCTGAGGCCGCCTCCTGGAGCCTCCCTGAGCGCTGGGCTCTGTGGAGTAGCAGCGGTTAAAGATCCCTGCTTTGCCACCTGATTAAAGCACAGCGTTGGCTTCTTGAGGTATGGGGTAATTACTGAAGGGGAAAAGGAGGCAGGGAAGGATATTATAAGGACCGTCGGAGTTGGCTGATGATGAAACGCGCATAGGGTTGCAGGATTTTGTGTTCAGATCAGCATGGCTGTGCTGTTCCAGCAAGGTGTAGCAAAGGATGCACGCAACGATCAGCGTTCACTTTTCAGCCTATAGATGGGGACCTGCTGCTGTCACAGACCTGTATTTGAAGAATTTTATTTCCCCTCTGTGCTGGGGGGTCCCAGCTTTCCACAAGTGATAAGTATGAATTTAGTTTGAGCAGGACACGTCTTGTGATGTTGCTTTCCTGTTAGTGAGACAGCCTGGTAGTGCCTTTTTTCTGGCATTGTCAACTATATTGCACTCATTTGAGCTGGCTGTCACCTCTTTAGCAAGGAGAGGCCCTGGCAGCTGTGCCCAGCTGTCCTCTGCTCCACAGTGCCTCACTGACATGAGGGGATGGTGCTGCTGGTACAGCTGAAGGACACCCAATAGATGTACTGTTATTTTCACTGTCAACTTTAGAACAGTTTCTTTTATTTTAGTTCTTTTCTCTTTCTGAGAGGCCGAACTTTAGTTTTGACTCCTCTGAGGCAAATTTTGCATTTTCCATTGATGCTTTTTTTTTTTTTTTTTTTTTTTTTTTTTTTTTTAATAGGGCAACATTGCCATTTTCCAAGGTTGATGCACGTAGCAGAGTCAACATTTCTGTTTGTATGATTTTGGAATAACTTTCAGCCAGCAGAGAAATTTCTAGACCTCCATTTTCCGTAACTCAGCTATGCTGTTTTTATTCCAGAAATTGACATTAACTTAATACCATATATTCGCTGCTTTAAACTGTGTGCTTCTTAACAACATGTAGTCCTTTTTTTCCCCCTACTTTATTGATCTAGGATTGTATACACGTTTCTTTGAAGGCGCTTTCCTCTTTTAGGCACAAATACCAGTTCATGGGCTATTGAAGATACTTAACTTTCTGTTGTCCCAGGTGAAACATGCTTTGTGTGTATAACAGATTGTGCAGAACTTATTAAGGTGAAGCTTAATTACATACATCTATGTACAGAATAGATTTGATCTGATAGCTGAGTTCTTCAAAGCAATTTGAAGTCTTCTACTCTCCTATTGCTGTTTTAATGTGGTTGTCAGATCTCCTAGCTCAGAATTAGAAGAACTTGTCAGTAGTGCCATTAAATGGCTCAGAAACAAAACCAGATGGTGCTGTAGCTATGTGTTTGTTTGTTTGTTTTTTCAGGTACCTTTGGCTTGTTACAAAGAGAAATTATGGAGAAGTGGAGCTTAATGACAATTACTGTTTTACTGGCACTTACTGTACGCTGGACTGTATCGCTTGGTTCTTATTCAGGTAATTCTTGTTCACAGTCTGTAGCACAACTATTTGAAGGTGAATTATGGAGCTTGTGGTAATTAAAGTAAACTTGGGTAGGAAATAATAGGTAGGAAGCAGTGTGCTACCTCAAGTATTGCTGTGGCTTAGGACCTATTTGCCTAAGGCTGGTGTAATAGCTTGGCTGCTTCGGTAAGAATAAGCAGAATGATACATATCCCAGCTGCGTGGGGGGTGCAGGGAGGGTCACTAATGCTTTGGGAGCAGCAAAGGAATGGCCGGCTGTCCCCTCCTATGCCTTTGTCACTCCTGTAGTTGCAGTGTATTACTACAGTTCAGCCATAAATTTGTTTAATCTTGTCCTTTAAGTTCTAGAACAGATGTAACCTTAACTTATATTTAGATAAAACAGTGCTGGTGATAATGAAGATGGTATAAAGGTGACACAAAGTGAGTGATTGCACTGTGTCCCGTAGCTATACTTACTTAAGGTTGTTTACAACATGAACTAGGGCTATATTCTTTTAATAGATGAGTATTTCTCCTCCCCATCTCCTAATGCTTGCAAAGAGCTGGCAAGTTTTTTCGAACCTCTCGGCGGCATTCAGCGCTGTGCACAAAGTGCACAAAGATCTCTCTGCGGGTTTGTATTTTTAAATGCCTCGTTACGTTCAGTCCCCATCAGCTAAAAGAATCACAAGCTCAGTCAAATTCTAGTTTGCTGTTAAGGCAATTGGGAACTTCACCCCTGAGCTGTTCAGTAACATTCAAAGTGATTTTTGAACTGGTGACTCCTGAGTTTTTTACTCACGTGAAGGGATTTGCTTGAAGATAAATTGCACGTGTGACTTGTTACATAGTTATTTTTAATTTGCTTTCTGAAAAATGCCCTAGTAAAAGGTCTGTGATGCAGGCTCTCTTCTGCCCATCCGTGTGCAGAGAGGCAATCTCTGTGTTGCTGAGTGACAGTAAATTTCTGTTGTTCTGTGCATGTTTTCATGACTAACTGGATTCTTCTGAGTTGAAAAGAATTGCAAACCAACCCAGGTTCTGAGAGTCTTAAAATAGTGACTGAATTAAAAAACACATTTTTCTCTGTTTTTCATGTGTCTGTATGCACACACTTATTTCATACGCAGCGACCATATAACTTCTTTTGGAACAGGAAAATCTGAATCCAGTCCAATCCAGCAAATTATCAAAACTCTTGTTTAACTTTCAACGTTGTCTGGGGGGGAAAAAATTAATCTGAATGTTAGAGCTGTCAAATACAGAAGCATGCTAGAATTCCTCCCTCCCATCACCCTGCTTTGATTTCCTTCACACAAAATAAACCTTGAGTTAGTGGGGGCAGGAAAGAAATGGGCCAGGATGATGTCTAAACTGACGCGGTCCCATTTTGCTCTCTGTCACTGAGTGCAATATAATTGAGAAAGGATTAGCAGCAGTCCTTGTGCTCAGAGGCAGGCTCTGCTTGAAGTGCTGATTCAGCACACCCAGAACCGCGTCGCATGGCTGACCAGATGGAGGGAGGATCGTTCTGCCCTCATCTGCTGGGCACTGTTGGATTGTGCTTCCATTTCCATTCTGTTGCTGCTCGCTATTTAGCATAGTTTTGGATCTCTGGCTAGAATTAGGGTCACAATGGGGATAAAACAGATAACTGATGCCTGATCTTGAGTGGTTACTAATTATGATGACCTTAGAATAGCTGTCTTGTATAATTACTGAGAAAAATTAAGCTTTGTGTATCTGAGATTTTCATGCAGTTACAAAGCTCATGCTAAATGAGTAGAAGCTAGATACTCGTGTTGAGAGGCAGCATCAGACCTTTAACAGCTTGCTTTCTGTTAATAACACAACTGATTAAGACCACTGTGAATTAAAAGCATTTCACTTCATTCTGAAATGAACTAATTTCTTTGCGTGTATATCTTTTTTTCCTGGAGAAGGGAAACTGTCTGTGTATGTGTGCTACATAGACTTGAAAATCTGGACAACACCTTTTTTCTATTTTAGAAATGCTGTGACAGGTTCATGTAGATTTTAGCTCCAGAAAGGAGACTGGTACGAGTCCTGTTGGTCAGTGAGCTCCCTGATTCAGGAAACTTCTAGTTGCATGTGTCATATAGTGGAAATAATCTGTCTCCTGCTCAGGACTAAGTTAGTGGAGATTTATTTTCTCTACTACTCAGAAATAAGCAGAAGATATTTGAGCTTGTGTGGCTCCCACAGACTTGGATCATGGGGAAAAAAGATGGGTAGTTTTCCTGTGTTGTAAAGAAACTCTTAAATTTTGTCTGTTTAGTGTCAATATTTTAATGGAAGTACAGTCAGTCCAGTTTCTGTTCTCAGTAAGCAGAGGTTAATAGAAGTAAATAAACAGTGATACAAGATGCTTAACATTCTGCCATTACCAGAGCTAGGCTGATGGTAAGGAATCGTTGCTGAGTGGGCAGCTGAAGTATTTGCACTGATAAAGCTTTTTTCCATGGGAAGAAAGCTCTTGATTTCCTGAGAGTTTTATGTGCGCATGTGTGAAAAGTATCCTTGAACATAATTTGCTTTGCAAATTGCTATCTAACAATCACTCATTTGGAAAGTGTGAGAGAGAATTCCTGTAAACCAAAATGGAACAGTTAGTTAGAAGTTTTGTATGGAAAAAATATTCTAAGCCAATTTCTGTGTGCTGATCTAATAAGTGGTTTGTGTTAACTACTAAGAATCATGAGGTAAGGAACAGCATATGTGATTTTTTTTTGGTAGCATCACAAACAAAGTAGTAGAGGAAAGGGAGAGGAACTGGGGGGGTTTTGGGAGGTGCTGCCTTGAAGTGAATTTAAAAATAAGGCTGGTTGTTAATTACAAAAGCAATGGCGAGGTACCACAGCTAAAGCTTTGTCTATGGTTGCTTACTGAGGAAATGTAGTCGGTACAAAATGGGTGTAAGATGGCTGCTATGAATGTTTTCTTATTGCAGAGA